ACAAGAAGACTCACGACGATGAGCTTTGTTACGTGTATTCGACATGAACGCAAGTACAGTATCCCCACACGAAATATGACGTGGTCCAGGCGTCCTCTATAGGTAGCAGCGAGTTGAAGACGGCGTTGGTCACGTTGGCGACTCATCACGAGTAATTGAGTCCTGGTCAAAATTATCATACGATTCGACCGACGCCCTCGGGAAAGGATTGACCAACAAATGATTGTGCGCGAAAGAAAGTAGCGTGCCAATCCTTGCCATGCAAGCAGAACCAACATAAAAAACAACACGGGAGAGACGGTGAGCTTTGCCACGTGTCCTCGACATGAACGCAAGTACGGTATTCCCCACGAAATATGTCGTGGTCTAGGCGTGCTCCATAGGTAGCAACGACGTGCAAACAACGTTGCTGACGGTGGCGTACCCATCGCGATTAATTCTGTCCTGGGTAGTCAAAATAATCATGTCACTCGACCTACGCACTCGGGAAAGACCGACGTAGAAATGACCGTGCGCGAAAGGATCCAGCGTGAGGTCCAAGCAAGTACGGTCAAGCGTCGTCCTTGGGCACGGTGGACCGTGACGCTAAAACACAAGCGCAGTATGTGCTTGTATCTGACATCGGCGTGGCTGCGAGGTCGATGTAATTACAGGCTGACGTAGGTGTTAAGTGTTCGTTAGTTGGTTCGCTTGCCTGTGTATTCTTCAACATTTATCACTTTGAATTTTCGTTTGTGGTGTTCTCCTTCTTTCTTTTGTAGTTTAGTTTCTCTTCCAGTTGACCCTCTCTCTTCCATATGTAGTTATCCAGCTGGAATCCCGGGAGTACGTCGGTAGCACGGGTCCATGAATTCCTGTACTGGAAAGATGTCTGCGACTTTGTTAGGTGGGCAGGACTATATTGTTTTGCCGTCTATGCCTGACCGGCGGGAAGCCGGCACGAAGCACTCCGTCTGCAGTGTGGGGTTTTAAGATTGAACTAAGGAGCTACCATTTCGTGTTTAACCCTAACCTTTTTCTACGTCACATCACGTGTATAGGATAGAGCTGAGGGCTCCACACTTCCTGTCGCTAATTTGTTTTGTCTTGCAAACCCTTCGGGTACCTTTTTTATAATTCCTTTTTTCGGCCAAAAGCTAGCGTGTGTTGCGAGGCTTGACCGCGTCAACACGAGTGTTAGGTCAGTACGGACAGACGAATGTACCGGGTAAAGAGATCGGAACGTTTTTCTATATCAAGACACAAACAACAACACCCCCTTCTGAGAAGGAGCGTCGGGTTCGCATCCGTCGTGTGGTCCTGGACTAGTCTGGGTTCAATGTTGCTCGTGAGACAAAACCGTAGACCGCAGCTCTTCACTGAGGGCTCGTGGCCCCAGCCATCACACCAACGCTGATTCTCTGCCCTCTTTCACCGACCATGTTTCCACGCACGTGAGGATGCTGATGGCAGTTGAAGGAAGGGCGATTCGACGTACCGAGCCGACCAAACATGTTGGGGGGTGATTTCCTTTGGTCCAAATCCACTACTGGTACATAGGTGGTAATTTTCGGAGCCGTCCAGCCCCACCCGGGCATTGGACTCATGTAACTGCCTCAAGCCGTTTGCGATGCAGGTAAAATAGCTATGCCGATAGACCGAACACCAGGGCAGTGAAAAAAGAGACGGCACACGCACGCACACATATGTTGAGCTCGGTGACCCTCGCACATCGGGTGATGACCCCTCTCTACGTCCCACTCCATTGACCCAATCTTGTCTTGTTTTGTGCTTCTTCTGCACACCAAACCGCCACACAGCTGAACATAAAACCCCGACCATATCTGCTCTTGAAGTCGTGTCGGGGACTTCCCGCAACCCACATTAACCCCTTCTTACCCCCTCCATCGGCAACACAGACACGACACAGCATGACAACGCCTACTGTTTGTACTCATCCATACCAGTCATCCGGAACGATAATCGACAGCCGAAGAGCTGCCAGGCTAGGGTCGCTGTCTACCCCCGCTCGTGGTGCGAGCTTGCGCAACGCTTTCTAGAGATCGGCCTTAAGGGGTGGGTTCGGCACCGTGCCGCCGCATTCTTTGATATACTCTTTGAGGTGGTCACACGTTAGACTCCGCCATGCATCAACCCCGGTAATTTCGTTGAGCTGCAACTGGCGCTTTCTCTGTTCAGTGGTGTACACCTTGGGCTCCTTGGATTTTGCCGCCCTTTGTGCAGGCGCACGACCACCGCCCTTACCCTTGCCAACCCCCGCCTTCAAGTGATCTCTCAGCGCCATCTGTGCTTTCCTGTTTTTCAACGTCTTCTTCAAGCTTGTCAGTTCTATTGTGAAGGAAAAAAAAGCGGCCATTCCGCCACTTTGTCATCATGAAATCGAACAGCTCGTCGCATTGCTCTATGCAACCCTCCCCCCCAGCGGCGCCGAGGTTTAGGTCCTTCACCAGACCCACACACGTAGCCCATGCCGCCTTCACGGGATCCGCCGTGGACACCACCCTCCTAACTTCCGCTGGTAAATCCCCGAGGTACGTCGCCAACAGGGTGGGATTTAGCATCGCCGATCTGTACCCAACCTCAAGCGCACGCACGAAAAGATAGAATTCCGCCGTTGGAAAAACGAGACCCTTCCCTTCATACTAAACGTTTCTCTGGTCGACCTCGAATTCCAAACCTTGAAACTCGGGATTGGCACTCCGGAAATCCTGAGCGGATTTGAACTTGTGGCTGTTGACAAAGGGCATGAACGCTCTGCCAAGACGGGGCTGCCTCTTAACGCGTGAAAGAGCGCTACTTAACAGCCACCCCCCTATGTTGTACACAAGACGCCGTTAATGGGCGTCCAGGTTAATGTCGCCGGCAGGATACGTCACATTGACGAGATCAGCTTCGCTCAATTTTGCGTGATGGTCTTGTCAACATCCTGTTTGAAATATTAATCACGGGGGATGTAAGGGTTAACAAGATTACAGACATACACTTCAAGGTCGACATACACACAAACGCACACACCTACACACGGGATACCAGATCACGGCCTTAGAAGCATTTGTGTCTTATTCCGCACTGAGACTGACATATTCCCATCGGTTGATGCCAATAATCCCGCACACGCACACGCAGTCTTCACCATCACTAGACACCTGTGTCCGAAGCACGCATGATAGGCAGGCCAACCTGGTCGATGGCGTATAAGACGGAAGTGAGAGCATGGGTGACACGCCGCTCTTCCAGACCCGACTTGATCGCCGCGTCTCTGATAGTCGACTCGTGGCTGAATTCACGTTGCGCATCAAAACGCTTTGTCCTCCGTGCCTTCTCGTACTCTAGCGCGAGAGCCGACGAAAACGGCTTCTTGGAATTTTCCACCAGCAATGCAACGAGGAAATCCCGCCATCGACGAATCGCGGAACGCACAGCCTCCACCTCGAGCACTTTCACGATACTTCTTTCATGTGATCCCTTTGCCCCAACCAGCCACCCGTGACCGATTTCCCCACCAACTCCGCCACCCCGCTCCTGGGCCGCCTATCCATGATGGCCTTGGTCAGAGCTTCATAGGTCTGCCGTGCAGAAACACACAACCGAAATGGAGACATCAATATATATTGGAGTGAGAACACGACGCAGGTTTGCCAAAGGGAATGGCGAGGCTAACGCAGTGGACATCGAGACGACTCTGTCCTACACAACCTCACCTTTTGGTCGTCTTCTGAAACACGAGGCTCTCCTCCTTCGTTATCACCGCCCTCCTCCTCGTCGTCTATCCCCTCGACCCCGGTGACCGCCCGGATAAGTTCCTCCATCTCCTCGTCGTCTTCTTCGTCTTGATCAACCATGTCTGCGTGAAAATGTAAGTGGTGAAGGGGGGGGGGGGGGGG